ATTAATTAACAAATAACATTTTTTAAAACATGTATAATAAAATTCTTTTTCTAAACATTTCTAATAAAGTTATATAAATTAATATTAAACATGCAAACTCAAAAAAACAAATCTAAAAAATTTATTAAAATTAGACTTATTAAAACAATAAGTCATTAATTTTAAGACTGAGAATATTAAACTTAAAGCTAATAATGCTAAGTTAAAGCAAACTCTAAAAGAATATAAAATCAAAATCACAAATCTAGAATAGAGAAATAAAAAAAAAAACTATTACTAATATACAAAATGATTTTTCTATAAAGAATATTTCCTATAAAATAAATTTTAATAATACTTTTAAAAAGATAATTAATATATCTAATAATATAATACTTTAAATTTTGATAATATACAATCTAAAATTGTTATACTAGAAGAATTTAATACCAATTTTGTAAATGATAATCTTTGGCTTAGAAGTAAAATTAAAGACTAAAAAAAAATGAGTGTAGTAATTTAGTAAAGTAGTAAAGTTGTTATACTCTTCAAGCTAGCTTAACTATAGTACTAAGTTTAAATTCTACTGGAGACATTTAGACAAAAATATTTGTATTATGGTAACAGATCTCTCAAATTGGGTTGGGTTTATAACTTGTTACTAGGGTCATACTAATGCTTCTGGGTGCTAAAAGCTTCTAGAAGTATTTATGTTATTGTATAAAAGAATGCAAACTGGTATGTATAGGTGATGCAAACCCACAATAAACCTTCTAAAAAATAAAAAATATTAAAGATATCTATATACAGAATTTAGAGATCCAGAATCGGCTTGGAAACCCCAAGTCTTGAGAAAGTTTTAAATAAGAATTAGCAGCTTTTGATAGTGCTACAGGAGTGGTTCATAAATAGAAATTTAGATGACAAAGATCTTTGGGCAAAAGGATTTACCAACTAGGCCACCAGGTCACTAGAGCCATACTAGATGTATATTTGTTAGTTACTTTAATATAAGGTGTCTAGTAGAAGATCCTAGAATAAGATCTTAAAGAAAAAGAACTTGCATTATGAAAACTTGTACCAAGAATCAGAAGACCTTCAAACCTGAGATTAGAACTCTTAGGTCTAAGCAGACCAATTTCCTTGGGCCATCTAGATTGGAAGACCAAAGACCAAAGTATAGAGTACAAATGTAGATACTGGAGTTGTGAACTTTACAAGAGGTAAGAAGTAAGTAATAGAAGAACTAATTAGAAAGGTTGTACTTAAAATACAGATTGTGTTATAGCGGCATCCAAAAGATAGCATAAAATATGAATACAATGATAGCAGACAATATATACTAATTAGAAAAAATATTACTGAACAAGCATGCATTACGTATATGATATAATATGTGGTGTCAGGTTTACCTCAAGGATTAGCCAAAAGAAGTTCTAAAGTAGATACTAAAAGCTAGAAGTATTGCAAAATCTATGTATAAATAGTAAGTTACACTCGAGTTAGGTATAATAGCTTTGGGTTATAACCAGAAAGTTTAAATAGAACTCTGTAGTTGGGTTGCAAGTATAGCAAATAGTGTAAAACCTTCAGGTAGACTACTTAAATTAGGCACCAAAAGCAGTGCTGTATATAGGACAATTTTGGACAATTTTGAACATTTTTTCAAGTTAAAATTACTCAAAATTTTATTAAAATAATCTATTTTAATTTTTTTATAAATGAATCCAGCATCTAAAAATATATATAATTATATATTTTTTTATATTATTTTATTTGTTATTTAAATATGAGACATAGGCTTGGACAATTTTGAACAATCTTGAACATTGGACATTTTACATAGTGTGAACATGTCCCATATATAACACTGCCAAAAGTGTATGTGTGACTAGTTGTACTTTTATTATAATTGTAATAAGTTTCGAATATCTAATAAAATAATCACTAGCCAAAAAGATCACCTTAATAGTAAAAAAAAAAAAAACCTAAAAAAAATATAGATAAGTTAAAAAAAGAATTAGAATCTAAAAAAAATTGTAAATTTCAAGAAAAATGTATTTTAATAGCTCAAGTATTAATTGAAAAAAAACCTGTAATTGAATATTGTTCATTGTTTATAAAAAAATTAGAACTTGATACTTTCTTCTAAGATTATCAAATTGTATTATAAATACAAGAGGCATAGCATCGGCTCTATCACACTAGCTAGTATAAAGATGTTAAAAAACTCAAAGAAATTGTTCATTATAATTGGCAAAAATGATGCATGTATTAAGATAATAGAATTTCCCTTCTTGAAGTATAGTATAATGAAAAACTAGAAATTGTTATTCTAGAAAGAATATGAAAAATTAAGGAATTGTTGATCAAGCATCCATTAGGGTTGTATTATATAAATTACAATTTTACAATACATGTAATTTTACTAAGTTTTAGTAAATGTAATTTTCATGAAATACCAGCTTTATGAAAGAACAGCCAACATTATGCATCATTTGATTTAAATATATTATCCGAATTGTAACTCATCAAATCACCGAAAATTTAAAACTAATTTACAGAAACTTACTCAAAATTACATAAAATTACTGATGATGTATTATTTTACATGTATCGATTTTTTTACTGATAGTTAGTTACATTGCTCTGCCAAAATATTGCTAGATGAATTGAATTTGTTTAATCTTGACTTTTTCTCCTATTGTGATTCATTTTTCTTTTTGTTTATTTCTTATTTGGGATTTTATTCAGCCCAGTTTGGCTTTTCTTATTTTTACTAATAGTTATAACTCCAGGATATAAGTGGTATAAGTATGTTTTGTCATGTAATGTCATTCTTTTTCCAATCGATAAACTACAAAATAAATATATTTCTTACAGCAAAAGTTTTTCCAAAAAAATGTCACTTCCAAGGGAATTTAGTGAAGAGACAAAAAATCTTCTTGCAGTATGGCGTGATATCATTCTTGAAAAACATAAAGATGATGATGATGAAATTTTTTGTAGTGATCCATTATTGATTATTGAATACCATCAACCGGGTCTTGTCAGCAGAAACATCACAGAAAATCATGTTGCTCAAGGTATATATTTATTAATATTATATAATCTTGTTTAGAGTTTTTCTTATTTTATTTTTTTTGATTAGTTATTAGAGGTACTCCCGGCTATACTCCTAACCCATTTCCCAATGTTACACATCCTCCGCAATCGAATTCAGTCTTCGCATTTAATAGAATGCAAACAATGGATGATGCCGTTGCACGATTACTTAGAAGTTATAGTAACCTTGTGTCAGGACGACCAGACCCTGTTGTCGGACGAGTATACGTAGTGGAGTTTCGCAGGGCCAATACATACGAAGTTTCTGAACGGACCAGTGTTTTTGACTGATGTAATCATTAACCTCAA